GTCGCGCTTGTGACCCGTTGCGCCTGTGCTTTTTCGCGCTTGTGAGCCACTCCCCGCATCCCACCAGAATTTATGATCGGACAAAAAATGCGCAAGTCATAGAAATCTGACAAAAGCAGCGCATGTCAGTTTTGATCTGACAAAAGGTGCGCATGTCTCAAAGAACTCTGTGAAAAGGTGCGCAAGTAATGACCTGCGCAAATTTTGTCAGATCTCCTTTGACATAAGCACATTTTCACAGCAACATATCTCTGTTTCTATTTGTACATTTTTTAAATCATTAACACCAGGTATGCATGACATTATTCTAAACCAATCCATATAAAAATTGGATTTTTCAAATTTTAGACCGCCCTTCTGCTTTTGAAAAGGCACAAAAGCGGGCTTATGCAACCGCTCTCGTGTCCGTCCGTCCGTCCGTCGTCCGTGTAAGAGGAAGGAGATGAGGTAGAGGTCTACAAATTTCAGGGTATCTTTGGGGTCTCTCCTGGACAACGAAACGCCTGGTGCAAATCCTGGCGACCACCCCTAAGGGGGTGAAAGGGGGTAACAAAGAAATAGGGGCTGGCCCTATAAGTAGGAATTTTTTTGTTTTTTCGACACCTGAGAAGAACAACCGCTTACCTTTGCGGACTGAAAACAAACCCGCTTACCTGTGCAACCCTCAAACAAAACCGCTCACCTCTGGGACACGCAAACAAAGCCGCTTAAATGACTTTTTAACACATTTTGAGATACGGGTATCAAAATGATCACTGAAAAATTCTCTTTCGAATGATACCCATGATTCAGAATGTGTAAAAAAGTCATTTAAGCGGCTTTGTTTGCGTGTCCTAGAGGTGAGCGGTTTTGTTTGAGGGTTGCAGAGGTAAGCGGGTTTGTTTCCAGTCCGCGGAGGTAAGCGGTTGTTCTTCTCGGGTGTCGTTTTTATGGTCTTCTAAGGGGTAACTCGTAAAAGTAGAGCCCTTTGAGCGAAAATTTTGTCCGCTTGACTCTATCTTGCACCGTTTGGGTGCTAGAGTGCATTTTTCGACGAAAATATGGCAAAAATGACCACCTTGCACCCAAAGACGTATAAGGAGGCGTCCAATCGTAAAATGTCAGAGGAAGTACCCCCGCCCCCCCCCCCTCCCCCAAAGCAACACATTCTGAAACAGGTCCTATCCTCGGATTTGCCGTATCTTTCACTGTTTCGGCCCTAGACGTGGATATATTGAAAACAATGAGGAAAAGTCAAGTTTTAAGACTGTTTGACAAACAATACAATCTAAAAAACTGCGTTGGTTAATTTTCTTGTATTTTTTTAAGCAAAGCAGAAGGGTGGGTTGTAGTCACGGTGTTGCCCCCGAGGGGTCCCCCACTCGCCAAC